GGAGGTAATATGTGGCAATCTTGTGAGGATGTGTATGCCTCAACTAGGTAGTTTGGAAATTCTTTGAATGTTAGCAGGAAGAATAAAAATAAGTAACAGCAGCAATTCTCTTCTACATATCCTCTTGTGGGAGGAAAAGAAAGAAAACACTACCCTCTCCCATAAATACATAAACAGTATTATACCTCCCGGTGTACCTTAACTCTGAAATGCATTGTCGGATATGGAATAGAGTGAAGCACAAATCTATTTACAACAAGGAGCAGGACATTTTCATGACCTGGGAAGCTGAGACTTCAAAAGAGGACAAACTTCCCTGGTCTTTTTTGCATTTGGAAACAGGGAGTTATTGACAAACTAAGAAGTCTGTGGAAGTTTATTACTGCTGGGTTTCAGCAGAGGCTACAAAGACAGAAGGTGTGGAGCAGTAGGAGAACCTGGCGTTTTGCTTAAGTTGTTTTTCAGCACTTTGATACTTTTGGGAAATCTCAAGATTTCTAGAAGGGGGTGTAGGGCTTGGAAGGAATGTGAAATTGGTAAAGGTTATTTTACTTGCCTTAGAAAATTCATTCTAGTATCTGTGAACATTATAGGAAGGTATTTTAAATAGAAAAAAAAAATCTAGGAATGCAATGGGTCTAACCTGACTTCCTGTTTCCTGCTCTCTGGGATATCCCCAAGTTCCTCTAAAATGCACTGGGTGAGGGAAAGTTCTAGATCAAGACTTCTGACAGAGGATGAGCCAAAATCTACTCTTGTTTTTCACAAATCTTAAAAAAAAAAAAAATCAAAGGATAGAGGAAAGTCAACCAGATGTGTGAAGGAAAAAAAAATCATCATAATTTTTATGAGATAGAAAAGCTTATTGAAGAATAGTTTCCTAATGGGCAGCTGAAACTTAAGAGTAAATCTAGGGGTTGATGAAGATGAATAGATTGGTAGATTAAGATAATGAAAAGAACCCATTTAATACCTGGAAAAGAAAGGGAGATAGACATATTCCAAGTCATTTTTAGAATTATGTTCAGATGATTAAAAAAAAGCACCAAGAAATCAAAGTTTTAAAAGAATATTAAGTCCAGTGGAGGATTCGAATTACTATCATTACACAGACATATTACATAAATATTATTGAAATAAAGTTATCCATGAATTAAGTAACATGTACAGTCTGGGTTCTTAACTTTTCAATTGTGTTTTTAAAATGTTTAATAGAAATCTGTAAGTTTTAATTTCTGCCAAGATCAAATCTATGACTTTACTTATATACATAAATTTTAACAGGGAGAAATGAAACACGAACAGTTGAACAAAATACAAATCTAAACTTAGGAAATACAAATATAAATTTAGGAAATACAAACCTAACTTTAGTTGTATTAGCTCTACAGCGAATCTAGCTCAGTCTTCCTTGTCCTGCCTTTCTATAGACAAAGCCTCAAAGGCAGACAAAAACAGTATTGATGACATCTTATTTTGCAGATATAGATAGAAACAAATTACCAATACCTTTCTAGTAAAACAAAAACAAAAGAGCCAATGATAAGGAGCTAAAGTTTTGCTATCTTGCTTCAATGACTTAACTTTTTGAGGCCCCAAATCTTTAAGGCTGCAATGTAAAAAGCTGATAAAGTATCAAGCCTGTATGTTTATTTGAAGACTAAGGTAACTTCTATGTGGTCTGATAAGAGAGAGATAGAATGTGAATATAAAGTAAAAAGTTCAAGCATCTTAAAAATTATTTGTCAAGAAGTTCAACACATTCATATAGAGTCAAATACTAGAACTATTTTATGAGAAGAAAATGTGAAAACAATGAAGCATGAGCAATAAGACCCTATAAAACAAATTGCATGCATTTAAAAGGAAAGAAAAGATTGTGGCATAAATTTGACTCTATTGAGATAGATTGCTAGTTTCAATTGAAAGGGGAGGGTAATGCCTGAGACATATCTGGTGGTGTGAAACAAAGGTGGAGTTCAAGGAAACATTAATTCATTCTGCTATTATTTACAAATGCATATTGTCACAGAAAGAATATATTCTGTGTACAAATTAGGTAAAAATATATTTGTGTAATGCCACAGATGAGTTAGGAGGTATGTTAGAACAAGGAAATCTTATCCTTTTTGTGAAGTCAAAGAAATTCCAGTTCAAATGATCAACTTGCAGTCACATTCTTGATAAAATTATGAAAATAGCAAAGAGTAATAAGCAGAAGATTTAAAAATAAATTTTGTTTGCTGACTCCTTTTGCGGGGGGGGGGTTATCAAGGATTGAACTCAGGGGCACTCAATCACTAAGCTGTAGCCCTTTTTCTGTATTTTATTAGAGACAGGGTCTCACTGAGTTGCTTAGCGCCTCCCCATTACTTAGGCTGGCTTTGAACTCTCCATCCTCCTGCCTCAGCCTCCTGAGCGGCTGGGATTACAGGCATGCACCACCATGCCCAGCTGCTAACTCCTGATAAGTGGTAAAAAACATGATCTCTCTTTGGTCCTTGAATTTCTGAGTTAGCAACTTCTTCAGGGAGTCTCAAAAACTAGAAGAGAAACGAAAGAGATTTATTGTAATTTTCTCAGAGAAAAAAAAAAGTGTTTCACTTACCTGAGTTTACACAGTCTAATCATGGATGAAGTCCAGTTTTATCATATCTAATTTAAAGTTTTGGGTGCTCTTTGCTTTTGACAAAAGTGAAGTCAGTTTGTCTTGTCTGGTGAATCTAATGGGTCTGACCTGTTCACTTGTCTCTGGACCTACTCTGGTTACTTGATGTGCATCATTGTATTGCATATTCATGGCTAAAGAGCTTGCTAATGCTCCCCCAGTCATTGAACAAAAAGGGCCAGGATTCCTACAGGTGAACTACCCACCTTGTTAATCCACATGAATTTTGCTTCAAAATAAATTGAACTAAGTAATATTATTATCAGGAAACTTTTGCTAGTTTTACCATCAATCCATAAATGTCTTCTCCAAAGAATTCTTGCCACTTGACAAGTATTTTAGATATCAAAGAGAACAATGTTATCATGGCTAAAAATATATCAGAATCTCAATACATTTTTTTGGTCCAAATTCCAATTTCTAACTTAATACAAAGAACATGAAACAAAGAGGGGGGGGGGGATGAACAACACAAAGAACAGCAGATGAACAGAAAATGGAGAAGAGGAGAAAGGATGAGAAAGAAAAAAAAGGCCTCGGGTAACAATTATAAGTGTTATTATAGTGGTCATTATAAGTGTTTTTTAAACTGTATCTAGATATGGAAGGAAATTGTCACATTTACCTCATAATCTACATATATTCAAAGGAGATCTACCAGAATTGACAGCAATATTTGACCATGGATGTTAAGCACTGGTCTGTGCACGTCTATGATCCTTATAAAATCTAAGGTGATTAGATGAATTATTAAAGATAAAAATGAATAAAATGGAATAGACTGGCCATTCTTAGACCCATTCATTTAATGTGGGTCCATTCCGTATATATCCATAAAATGTTTTATCCAGGAGCAAAATACACTAGTTGGGGCTTATTGTGTGTTTGATCGATTTCACCTCAAGTTCCATGCATGTCTTTCTCTTGGTTATATGCTAATATTCTCTCTCGAACTCTAAAATGATAACAAGGCTGTCATTCAGTGTACAAATTCCTATGCACGGCCCAGGTGTGCTAGCCAGTGGACAGGCCGTCAGCATGTATGCAGACTCTTTTCTCAAGTCTATTGGGTTAGCGTGGCAGATGACACCTTGGTCTTTTCTAGGATACAGAACACTCTCTTAGACTCCCAAGATTCTGCATCAACCACTACACACCAATCATTGACTACTGTATGTGTGATATGAAGTTAATGAGAAATGACAGGTTCCTTTTCCTTGCCTCAGTGTATAGAAGCGACCAAGCACACTTAAGCCAAGTTGTCATTACCTGGAGACTAACTTCTGACACATGGGCTGTACTTCAACCTATGAGTAGATATGCACATGTCGGAAATGAAACAAATGTATAGAAAATATCTAGTGGACATAGCATGCTATATGTGCTTATTCATAGTGGAATATACAGAATTGGGCCTATAAGACATTAAGTCCATGCCTATAAACTTTATTGCAGCGAGCTAAAATGATGATAGAAGCTTCCTAAAAAAAGCAACAAAATACCTCTAAGGAACATGAGTGACTTTTTAGTAGTCTGATATGAAATGAAAAATGCAGGCACAGTGTTTAATAATGTGCAAGAGTAGAGACAGTGAATACAATCATCCTCTCTCTCCTCCTGCCCCCTAGCCTGCCGTGATCTTTATTAGCTTTGTCCTGACAATCTGACCTTACAGAGCTCTACCCAGCCCTGACAGCCACATAAAACCCACAAACAAATAGAGAACTGGTGCAGTCTTTTCAGATTTAGGATCATGTTCAAGCTTATGAATCAGATTTTTCTATGTGTGGACATGACAACTATGGAAAAACTGTAATTTAGGACATATTCTCTTTATCCTTTTATGTAGAATTTTACTTTAATGTGATGCAAATGACAGTAAGAAATACATTCAGTGAATGTTAAAGCCTTCCCATTAAAAATTCTGTATGCATTTTACATTCTAATTCATGTACAGTCAAAAACCCTGATAAAATCACAGTGCTGATTTGACTGCTGCACTTATCGTATTAATGAGGATACTTTATGCCTTTTGAAAATTGGGATATGGTCCATTATGTGATTGTAAATGATGTGATTGTATCACATAAATTTGTTATTCAATCCCACCCCTCCCTCCAGTCAGCTTTGTATATAAGAAGATTCATTGGTGAGTCAGAATTGAGGCTTGAAAACTGAACTGCAAAATTAGACTTTTCTTCTTTTGTCTTTGTTTCTGTTTATGGAAAGGAATAGAATCAATATGCACACAGAGCGTATGTGAATATAGAGCATATGTGTATTTTTCTTTATTATCTTTTAAATTGTGTTTTAATTTTCCTAAAAACCACAGGGATAATCTCTCCAAGGAAGTCAAAAGGAAAGGAAGAGGCAGACGGGGCCTGGGGCTCCCTAAGGTATGTAGTGCTCCTCCTCCACAGCCACCCCACCCTCCCTTCCCTGATTTTGCTGATTCCGGATGGACTAACACTTGTACATTTCCCCTTCTCTACTCTTGCAACAAGTGAAAGTTTTGAGAAGTATTTTGACCAATGTTTCCTGATTGGGGGTTGCATGGAAATCACATTCCTAAAAATGCCTGCTCTTCTTTCTATTTATTTTTCTGTCTTTCCTGCCTAAATTACTCAGTGTTAACTCCCCAGAGCTTGCAGTGGGGTGGCATCTGACCACAGCTGCAGGAGGCTCTGCTTCTGCCCCCTACACCTGCTGCTTCAGGATCTGTGGTGTAGATGTGTCATTGGGTAAAAGTCAAAGAACTCTTTCTTCCCTCTTGAGATGCCACTTCTGTTCATCCCTGGAGACATGAACCCCTGGCCTGGCATCAAGGTCTCCAAACTCTCCACAGAATAAATCAGAGCACTGACAACAGAAGTGGCTTTTGAACTCTCCGATTAAAACCTTGGAGGAGACCGCTGGATCCCGGCCAGGTAGCTCCTATATCCTCCAAGGACTACAGCACCTAATTTTCTTTTTAAGGATGGTTCCAAGTCTTAGCTTGTGATCACTGGAGAGAAGCCTGTGCACCGAGGCTCTTTCTGCCAGCCCAAGCCATGCAATTATAAATGGTTGCCTGTCCTCCTTCACTTCTCAAACATTATCATTGGTTTTAGACTCTTGAGCACTCACTTGTAGGATGGCTCTTCTGTTCTTTTGTTTTTCTCTTTTTCCCCTTTATTCCTCCAGAAAATGATCTTCTGTTGCTTGGAACCCGGAGGAAGTTAACATTGCCCTTTGCAAGGGAGCAATCTCTAGCACGGAGCTCCTAGAGTTTGAAAGTACAAACGCCCAAGTTCTTCACACCCACCTGACCATCTTACATTTCTGACTCTTCATCTTGTTCTTGTTACCTTGGAAACTGACCTTTAGGCTTTATCCAGTTCTATATTTTCTCCAAACTCAAAGACTATGCATTAAAAATAATAATTATATATGTACATATATTATCTTTGTTTAAAAGTTCTGTTCTGTCAAACTATAACATCAAAAACATAGTACTAGTCCCCCTCCAATCTTAATGCCATTCAGAGAGAGAGAGAGAGAGAGAGAGAGAGAGAGAGAGATGTCTTAGAGAACGATTTGCATATTATTGTAACTTTATTGCCTATTATATGCAATTTTAAAAATATTTGCAAATATTATATCTTATTTTTTTAAACTGCATATGTGAAAGGAAAGTTGCTTGACTAAAATACACCAAAAGAGATCATGAGGGGCCCTTCTTGATGGGAGGTATTTTTTTTTTTCGTTACCTTATTTCAGATTCAGGGCCAATAAGAACTTTATACAATCTTCTGGACAAAGCTTGCTACATCCTAATCTCTGCAAATCCACTCTGTTCTGTTCACCGCTCTTCTTATTAATCAGTCCTACAGAGCTGTACCCTTCTCAGTACTGTTACACGCACTGCATTTTTATGCTTCTGTTTCTGAGTGGCCTTTTCTATATTTTTTGCTTTGTCTTGCATTCAATTATCCCCAGCTTGGTGTGGAGAATAGGACGCCATCGCTGCCTACATTTAGGCAACAGCACATTATGTCATCTTGCTTCATATATTTTACTTCTATCTCTTTTAGGAGAAAGCTCATTTGAGAAATCTTGGCTCTGCCTTTGGGGGAGAATCATTTACCTCTTTCATTCGAGCTGAAATTTGTCTCCTTACTCTCTTTGTTAATACAAAAAAACACTTATTTACATCTTCTCGGATCCTATTAGTTAGCTCAATTGCCTAATTGTTGTAGTTTTAAGAAAGACCAAGTCATTTTCTTGCTCTCAATCATTGTGGGTCTATTTTATGGGTTCCACAATGCCACATTCACTAGTCTGCTTACTTTCTTTGGGAAGTCTTTTCTGTTTCTCTCCCATATGCAGCATTGTATGTATGTGGTTCATTTCCTTCCCACATGTAGGAAATATGGCTAAACAATACCTCTACAAAAAAAGCAGAGAGGAAGACGTTAGGCCCGGTGATATTGCCCATCACATTGGACTCTATGCCTGAGGATGGGCATACTAGAATACTTGATTTTGTATGAATTTGCTCTGAGTTTTCTTCCTTCTTGTCTTTACTAGTGTCTTAACTGTTCCTGAGAATGAATCTCCCTCCCTAAGATGGGTCTCCTAGTTCTCTATTGACAATGCTGAGTAAATCAGGGTGTGGAATATCAGCCACAACACCCTATCTCTGGCAGGGATTGCTGGCTGAAGCCATGCTATTCATATGTCATTCTGTGCCCAAGTGTGGATAATAACTGAATTGATTTTACTGGGGGAAAGACAAAGGAACCTCGGGTTGCTTTCTGTATTGTTTTGTTCACAGGTGATTCTGCTCTGAATGGTAAGATCTCTACTAGTCTCCTAGGTCACAGTTAGCTCCCTTTATGGAAAATCCCTGGTGGGGGAACTTCTGGTATTGGGCTGTGAGGTACTACTCTGTGTGTGTGTGTGTGTGTGAGTGTGTGCATGTATATTGTCAAACTTGAGTCAAATAACAGGAGTTAAGTTTATACTTTTAAGTCCCTACAAATTTCTTCTTCTTTTAAAGCAATATGCATTTAAGAAAGCATATCTTAAACTGGAAACTAAAACTTGAATTTCAGATCCTCTGAAAGAGGAGTTTCAAGAATACTAGTATTTAATAGTAAAGGTATGTCTTGTTATTATCCCCATGCTACAGATGTAGAAACTGAGACAGAGAAAAAAAACTTTTTTAAACTATATGGATGGCATACAGCAGACTAAGGAATCAAACCTGGTAGTCACCAAGCCTTGACTCTAAAACAGTGAACTTTTATACTCATCTAAAATCTATATATCTCTTACAATGACCACCAGATAGACAAGGTGGTTTACAAATATTTTAAGGAAATTATAAAATAATATGCACGTATAAGCTATTTCACTTCTATCACTCTAATTGTTATTCTTTCAACTATTTTATTCCTTTATGTTATCAAATCATCTTGAATAATATGGAGAATTCAGGAAAGTTAACATATGATGATTGTTATAGAAAATTTGGAATCTGACATATGGTTATATTATTCCTGGAATTATTACTTTTTAACTTATGTCTCTCCCTTATTCCTTATTTTCTGTTGATAATCACTGGTACTTTTATGAAAGTGAGGAGGCACATGCCCATTGAAGTTATTTCCGGAAAGTGCGAAAGTGCAAGAGAGTCACATAAAAGTCTCAGTTTTTTAAAATGTGCACGACCATACATATATTTCAGGGATCTTCTTCATAACTAGGTGTTTGCCAAGAAATGTGATAAATATATAAGGGTCACTGTCACACCAAGCTTCTGAGCATTGTTGACTTTGGGTCTGATTCTTTGAGTCCAAGTTGCCCTGAGGATGCTTTTGTCCTGACTACACACAGACAAAGGTTATCTTGGAATTTTGAAAGTTAAAGGAATAGCAGATTTTGTTTCCTATATGTTTTCTATTACTTGCTAAAGATAGCTTGCTTCTGGTTCTTAGAGAGTTAAGGATAGTGAATGAAATCACTATTCCAGTGGTCTTACACAGGTTGTATCAGTCATTTCATTATGTGAAGAAGCATCAAGTTGGTGGCCACAAATTACAAATTAGTACAAGTTAGCATAAATATCAAAAAGCTTTTTGGGGACCCCAAAGAATTCTTTATATCTAGCTCTGGCTCCACTAAGTCTTCACTACTGAATCAATACATCAGCTCAAGAATACACGGAGTCCCAAAGTCACACCATCCTACCAAAATAATTACCTATAATTAATATAATTATTGATCAAGTAGTAGAAGTTACTGTCTAGATGATATAAAGCTTTTAGGATTTCATGGAAATGCTTTACAACTTAATTATGTTTCCCTGGGAGATTATAAGATAATTCAATTTATTTTTCCCATGTGTTCCATCAATCATTATGTGGACATCAGGAATATCAGAATCTCATTTCTATGTCAATTCCTACAGAATTTAGACTAGTCATTTCAGTATTATATAATTGGTTTGAAGAAGACAGGGTCCCTCTCACATGGGAATTATTCCGTACCTTGTAATGCTGGGACACTCTTCTGTTGTCTTCATATAGTACATGATAAAGCTGGCTGCTGACTGCTCTGATAACCCTGCTGGTTTTCACTGCAAACCAAAGTTGAGGTCTATTTAAATTTTCCTTCTTAGATAAGTCAGGAGCTATGTTGTTCTCTGGGCCTAGGTCTTCTTATTCTGGGAGGCAGATGGGAGAGCTACATTCCCTTCTACTTGTAAAGCTCAATACTCTAGTTTTGCTTGCAGTTTAGCTCTTCACATACCTACGGTGGTGCCTCTCAAGGTTCAACATCCCATGAATCACTGGGAATCCTGTTAAAATGCAAATTATAACTCAGTAGGTCTGGGTGAGGCCTGGCCTCCCGGCTTCCTAACAAGCTCCCAGGTGATGCCGGAACTGCTGGCCTGTGAATCACACTTTGTAGTGAGGATCTGATGCACTGAGGCAAGGGGAAAAGACTAGCTCTGCCTCTTCCTGTGGTAACACATCCCTTTGCTTTCCTCCCAGGGCTGTGATCCCAGACTTCTACAGAACACTGCAACATGCCATCTCTGTCTTAGCTACACCAAGCAGAATTTGGGCTCCAAGAAGACTGAGTGCATCCATACAGAGCACAAATCCCTTCTCCAAGAAGGAAACCACAGAGCTTATCAAGAAAGATCTGTGCCTCTGTGCCAGACAGCAACAGCCCTGCTGAAAAATGAAATATGAAATAAATGAGGTGGAGCTTAATTTTAGGGTCTACAAATTTGTAATGTGTTCATCATTCCTGTTGCCATTTTACATGCAGCCTGAAGTTGTCAGACATGTTTTGTGAGGAGAGCTGCAGTTGAGTTCTGGTTTAATGAAGCCCTCCCACCCATTCACGTCCTTCTTCTAATCTCCACTTGCAGCAATGAGCAAGAGAGGCTTTTGGAAGTGCGCATCTCTTTTGCTTTCCTGGGGACAGGCTCCTGGGGGCATGTTCCCAAGCAGGACTGCGGGCTGGCTTCCCAGCAGAGGGCGCACTGCCCCAGTGTCATGGCCCCAGAGTAGTTTCCTCCTCTTCTGGGGTTGACTTCTCCCCACTAGGCTGGTTAGGGCCGCAGGAGGAATCAGAAATGGGCTTTCAGGAAGGGAGGAGCTGAAGGCTATTTTAAGGAAGAAAATCAAATCAAATCATTTCAGATCTGAATCAGTGACTTTTAAAATGGAAGGTCTACTTGGCTCCTGTTAATGGGCAGCTTTTCATAATTCTCAGCTATTATAAGACTACCTTTTCCTTTTTTAAACCTACTCTGGAACCTTGCATTGTCCGGCATTTGTATCTTTCACTTTAATGAGCGCGAAATAAGAATTATATAAAGGATTTAATAATTCTCACTGGACAGTTAATTAAGCAGTGAGAAGTCTTTAGAACTGTTACTCTTTTTTGCTTTTTACAGACAAGTACTTCCACAGAATCCAAGGGAAGTGATCATGTGTGTGTGCGCGTGCACAGCACATGATGTGAGAGTTAGTAATTTTTCACAGTAATAAATGACCTTCCTAACAAGCTGAAATAGTGAAATAAAAATCCACCTTTTCGTGGCCCACTTTCCCTGGACTCTACTTCCACTTTCCTGAAACTTCTTTGCACAGGAAATGAATTCCTTCTAACTTGGTGGTGGGGGTGGAGGGATGTTGAATATGTGGATTTCAAGTTATCCAAATTTCTCGTTCCTTCGTAAATCATAGGGGCAAGACCCAGCCCACTCATTCATTACAAATTCTTTTCTTTTTTTTTTTAAAAAAAAAACCTGCTTCTGTTTTTCCTCATTTTTGATAGATCCTACCACAAACATCAGCTAGAGTAAGTGCAGACGACCATAACACTATTCTCACATAGAGGGTATTTTATTAAGTCCAGCAGTTAAAAATGTACAAAGTTCCTTGTAATAATCCATTCATTCTGTTCTCGCCTGATTCTTGGAGTAAGCCTGCACAATTATTCAAATCCCAGCTTTTAGCTACAGCATACACCTCGCCATGGGGCTATGCCTCTGTAATCTTGCTTTGGTCTTGCATGTCAAATGGAATTAACTCCCATAAGAAATGTGTGCGAAGACAACCCAAAGTGTCTAATCCTGCTGCTGTCTTAAATTTTTGAAACTCTGAACTGTCATCTTTTTCTATTGCTTTGTTGAAGTTCTCACTTATGCCTCAGTCCATCCAAAGCTGAAGTTTAGGAAAATTTGCATTTTTATGTATTTTTTCCGTTATGCTCTCCCATGGCCTTTTCACATGTTCTCTTTATAGAAGGATTTTTTTTTTCTTCCTTCAAATTCCAAGACCATTTTATACACAGCGGGATTTCAACAAGAGGTGAATTCGCACCCCTCCCTCATCCCCCAGGGGCATACAAGTTGATACACAGACAACACTAGTTGAAGATTCACAGGCCAAATCCAAACTGATGTGTGTGTGTGTGTGTGTGTGTGTGTGTCTGAATATTGTATGAGAGAAAGGAAAACAGAAATAATGATATCATTATTACTATACCTTAACCACTCAACCTAGCTAATCACAAAAGCTAATTCTGTCTCAATTGAATCTCAGACTGCATCATCTCCCTCATGAATAAAATGCCTGGTGAAATGAGCTTGGTTAGTCTACTTCTATGTTTTATTAAGAGTAGATTAGCTTGATAACTAATTTTATCCTTTCTTTTCTGGTAGATAACACTGTTTAAAAATCTTGAATGCTGGGATGGTTTTCTTCCTCCTTCATCGTATTCTGAATTCCACTTGGTCACCTGAAAATTCCTAGACATGAGGAAGCTAGAGGAAGTCTCAATATGGAGTACACAAAGCAAGCACTTAATAAGTATCTGTTGAATTCCTATGAATGAGTGAGGACAGCTTCCTCTGCCCTTTCTCAACATACTCAACATACTCATGGATCACTCCATCTGGAAATGAGAACTGCCCAGATTGGCGTGAGCGTCCCTCACAGATCGTGCGTTCAGTCTGGTAATTACACATGGTGCGTGTTTTCAAATCACTGGTTATTCAGCATTGTGGGTTCCTTGAGGTGTCTGGACTAAGTGAGGTGTGGAAGGGTAAAAAAATGTAACTTGGTGTGGTGGATGTTTAATAAGTGGTAAACCGCAGCATTCTCCATTTGAGAGTTAATTAAGGCCACTGTCTGACTGGGCTTGTGCAGAAAACATGTTCATGGTTTAGCCATGGAAACAGTCACAACAATGCTCAGCTAAAAATAATGGCCTTAAGAGACATTTTCACTGATTATTTCTGAATGCTTATTTATTTATTTTTAATAAACCAATTGTCACATTTTTGAAAGAATACATAGTAGTACCAATGCCCTGAAACTTTTACTTATGTCTGAGCTGTAGACACTAAAATGAAGATTAATGTTAGGGGAAAGCTATGGACCAAACTGTATTTTTAATTCTATATGTCTCTGATAAGCTAATCATCCCTTCTGCTCTCTTCATTGTCTTTGTTTCATTAATGGCCTTTAATGCATGATGCAAGTTTTGGGAACAGGAGAAGTTGACCCTCTACCATTATTACATTATTTTATACACACTGTGTTTGAAATTATTGAAGAACACTCCTTTAGTGACAGAGTAATATGAGTTCTATTTCCGCTATTGTTTCTTCAGGATGAGAGTACTGTAATAAGACAATATATTTTACTGTACAATATATTACTTGGGCTAATAGTATTGAAAAAGCATATTAAATGCAAATGTCCTTTCAGCATCTGGTTGGTGAACTTAGATTGTCTTATCAAATATCTTAACACTGTTCTAGGATTCAGCAATATTTACTGCAGCTGAAAGAAGTGAATCCCACAAGTACCAGGCAAATGGGACAAGGGCAGAACCAAGGTAGAGGGGTATCCAGGAGGCTGATGTGTTTTGGGGGCATTGTTGAGCTGGCTGCTTGCAAGTTGTTTTGCATGGGACAATAAAGAATTCTGCTTGAAATCACTCTTGCTAAGCAGACCCACTGGAATCTTGGTCCATTGTCCTGCCATTTAATTTTAAATGATTTTACTGGTTTTGGAGCACACTGGGAATAGGGTATTATAGGAATTCATTCATCTCCTATTCTTTCATTTACCCACATTCCAATGGGTCTCTGAGCATATTCTCTGGAAGAATCTGGACATTTCATTCTTGGCAGGACTTGGTTGGGGAAAAATGGTGCAGTGGGACAGATATTCTTGGTGCCTCGGTCTGTACCTTGAATCCTGCCTATGGCATCATTTGACCAAACAGAGATTGTTTCCCAGTCTGAAAGCCAGAGAAATTCAGGTCTCCATTTAGAACATTTCCTGCTTAACCTGATCATAAAGTCATCTGCAGTAGAATATTTTAGCCAGAGTTGATGCAAAATTGTCATACCTACAAATCCTCATTTGTGGCTGTTTTTTTTTTTTAAGCTGAAGTCTACATGACAAACATCAATCTCTGCCAGTATCAGTTGAGTTCTTAAGGCTCCATTTTTTCCTCATTGGCTATTTTCAATAAATAACCTTTTTTTTTTTTTTGCTGGTTTGTTTCTCCTCCTTCCCACTCTCCTTTCATTTTTTGTCATTTGTTCTAATTTAATTTAAAATGCCCAGCATCTGACTGTAATCAGGTAGAGGGACTCGGGAGACTTCCAGCAAGAGCAGGTCTCCTGAAAAGGGTCTTTTGGACACAACAGAATGAGCCTGTATTTATTATCTCTGGGATAACAAAAACGGGGAGCGAGCAAGACTGTGCAGCCGTCCTTTCAAGCTGCAGCTAACTTGGTGAAACACCCTCTTCCCCTGGGTGTGAACAGACCGCCCCTTGGCTCACAGTCCTCCTGCTGTCCCTGCTGCTGGTTCTCCAGGCCAACAAAAACAAGCATAACAAAACATGCAGAGAAAGTGTCAACAGAAAGCCCTTCTGTAGGAGCCTAGCTTTTGGAAGTGGATTGGATTTGTGGACTGTACATCAGCCACAGCCACACACTAGCACTCTGACTGCTATCCATTAGGTGTGGGCCACCTAGCATGTTAGGCACCCGTGATCTATTCTTCCTCTAATGTTGCAGAGAGAAGCCTCAGTTTCCCTATATAGCAGCTGAAGATTTCTGGGGGAAGTCACAAACCCTAGATTTTGCAAAGATTGGCCTGTGTTTAAATTCTTGCTTTACATTCTAAGAAAATCACTCTAACCCTCAGTTTCTCCATTGATAAACTGGGGATAATCATGTTTCCCTTTTCGGATTGTGGTGATCGAATGAAATGCAGAGATGTCTAATCACTGAGAAAAAATATCACAATGTTTAGACTAGGTGAAGTGTGTGCAGAGAGAGAGCAAAACCACCGTTGTGAACGTGCTTGAGGAATAGAAAAGCACTGTAGAAACTGAAGACATTATTATCATTATTATTGTTATTATCTTCAAGGTTTTAAGTCATTTTTATCGGTAACAGGAAAAGGTGGTGATTCTTATCACAAAATTCAAGCCTGGATCCACCACAGCCAGAGGTTCTTCTGCAGCCTTGTGAGGGGGGAGGCAGCCATGTCTGCCTCCTGGCTTCACAGATGTGGTGCAGAGCAGCTCTGTGGGGGGCAATGTAAGGCAGCAACCCCCGGTCCTTTGTGCCGCAGCTGTTACAGATAAGCAGCTATCTTGGGTCTTTAACGTTGGTGTGTCATGAGTTTCCAGGGAGGATTGAGAAAAAGTCAAAAGTTCATGCTGGTCTGTGGTTCTGCTCTTGCAAAATGGAAGCCTGACAGAGAGGGATGCTGGGAGTGCTCTCCTAACTGCATATTCAGCTAGGGGATTTATTTTTTTTTATTTTTTTATTTCTTATTTATTTTTTTTTTAGCTTGTGGAGACATTAGCTTTTCTGTAGTTAGTAGCCAAATGGATCAAATGGATTTTTGGTCAATTGAGTACTTCAGCCCACCACAAGTGGCTGTTTAAGAAATGTGTAAAGAGACTCCTCAGGAAATAAAGGCAGAGCAGAGACAAAACTAAAAGGAACTCAAAGGGACTGGGATTGTGGCTCAGAGGTAGAGTGTTCTCCTAGTACATGTGAGGCACTGGGTTTAGTCCTCAGCACCACATAAAACTAAAATAAAGATGTTGTGTCCACCTATAACTAAAAAATAAATATTAAAAATAAGGAATGCTAAGACCTCTGGCCAGGCGTGGAAGTCTATCCACTTCACCAGGGCCTGGATAATTCTCTGTGCAATATTGCATGACTGGAAATAGTTGTGGAAGACTGTGACTCTGTCATCTATTTTTTTTAAGTTTCATTTCACTTCCTTAAGCCCACTTAGAAACGTATCACAGTGCCACATGCAGTGAACATATGACGCATTGTGGTACCAGGAGGAACTTGCAAGAATATGTGACACCTACTTTTAAAATAAAGTGGAGGGCCCTGAAAGTGCTGACAATGTCCAGGGGATGAACAGGATACTATGGGGCATGCTTCTGGAAGCCAGAGGAGAAACTGAAACATTGAGCCTCTATTCATTATAAGAGAAGAACTGATAGTATTCCAAGGTCCAGAAATCAATGGAATCAACTGGCAAAAGGGAATATTTTCTAGCTGCTTTTTAAACACTTAGCTTCTGAGGGATAGTGCAGGGAGTGGGGTTGGGGGGAGAGCAGAAAGTAAAAGCCATACAAGCTCTGTGAGCCTCAGCATCCTCATCTGTAAAATGGGCCAGAGCTTCCGAAGTGCCAGAACAGTGGGGAATGAATGGGGGGAAAAGGAGAGTAAGCCTCATCTGTGTCTGACTCAGAGGAAGCAGTCAACCAAAGGGAATGGGTTCTATTAGGAGGAAGCACATAACTCTGTCTTTGGAGAGAGCCCTTCTCTCTCCCTGCCTCCTCCTCCAAGCCTCTGAGGCCCCTCTGTAGTAATTGCTGCTAGGGCTTGGCATCTATCTGTAGAGAAATAGTTTTTGTCAAAGGGCTCTGGGGTGGTGGTGTGAGGCATTTATTAGTGATCTAAGGCAACATAAGTTGCCTCTGGTGTTTATTGACTGTTTCTAGCTGGAGGCACAGAAATACACAAGCACTAAAGGGTGAGTTACTGTTGGTTGCTGCTCTCTGGACCAGCAGGGACTTGGCAAGCTCTTGGAGGACAGAGTGTCTTGCATCAATCAACAGTGACCCCTCTGGCTGAATATGTACAGGCATAAAGAGGCTCCTAAATTAGCCTCTGTTCTCCTTAGCGGGATGGATGGAAGATGAAAAGCAGTCCCTGGAGTAGGAGGAAGTGTGTGTGGTGCAGGGTTGAGCTGTATTCTGGAAATCCAGGCCAACTCCTCCTGTCCAAAACAAATCTGAAATGTCTTCATTTTCTAAGGGCCTATTAAAAGTGTGTGTGTGTGTGTGTGTGTGTGTGTTTAATATGTTGATATGGTAGGGGGTGAGAAGGAATGGAAGAGGTGGGGAGAGAAAAGGATGGACAGAGAAGAATTACAACACAGAACTACTTGTTTGGTGAATGAATCTGAATGGAGGAGAGCTCGATTAGGACTCACTCCAGCATATTTTCTCTGTGTGTATAGATGAGATGGGCACACGCCTTAAGCAAGGGTGAGGTGCATTATTACGTGAGCCCATCAATCTTTAAAACCACCCAGGAAAAATTCCATGTGTTCATTAAAAATTTCATTGAATATGAATTTTCCTAGGAATGCTAAAGGTCTGACTACCTTCAGTAAAACCAGGAATCATGGGAAGGATGCCTTTGTAGCATATGGTAAGGGCATCCAGAAAGAATGTTTTTGTGTTTGAGGAGTGTGGTTATACATCAGGAGATTTTTTTTTTACCTCCTCCTCTTTCCTAATGATTCCCCCTTTGGTCAAAAAAGAAAGGAGAGGTAAGGACTCTACAGATAAAAGTTTTTTTTTTTTTCTAGTTTTCTGTGGGGTCCAATGGCAGTAATGTTAATGCCTGCTTGACAACTATCTGTATTCAAAAAAGCCCTGGTGAGAAAATAATAAA